ATGAAATTTGTTTTTGTCTGTTAAACAAAATCGCAATTATGAGTGTCGCTATATGCCCAGTCAAAGAGAGAACAGAACACAAAAGAAAGAAAGCCGACATTAGTTGTACTTCTGCTTTTCCTGCGTGATTATAAATAATAATTAATCATGACGATCCATTGAATCTGATTAACAAAGAATTATCAAAATGTGACATTATTGGTGTGGAATAAAAAAAATAAAATGAATTTGGGGTGAGAGAGCCTCGAACTCTCGACCTCAGGATCACTCAGCAGCTATGAGACCTACGCGCTAGCCAACTGCGCCACCACCCCTTCTTGCTGAGATTCTCTCTCTGTTTTCTATTATCTTTGACATAAATGAGTTTTTTGTCTGAAATCTTACCTTCTGATTTACGGATGATGAATGGGTTTTTTCTGTCTGAAACATCTCAAATCAATCATCATCAAGAACTTTAATTTCGAAACAAGTGAAAACTACAAACCCAAAAAAATGATGACAATACAGCCCAAAACCCACAGTGAGTTATCCATTTTCGTGTTACATGAACAACTTGTCCAGACAAAAACCTTACACCACTGTCATATGCTGATTCTTGTGTGTTTAGGCATTACGTCTGCTTTATTAACTTTCTGTTCGTTCGGCGTTTGCTTGCTACTACTGCTCTCAAACAGCTTGCTGTTCTTTGCAATCGTAAGGATTAGATCGAGTTGCTTTCGCTGTTGATCCTGCAAAGCAAACAACCAGCTTTCCATGAGTTCAAAGGGCATGGCAGAATCTTAGAAGACACCTTTCTACACATTGATTCAACAAACAGACGGATTCGGGTTTGAAACTATCGAAATCGAGAATCTATGGTTAATAGATATATATACCTGCATAGCAAGCAGGACCATTTGAATTTCGCCAAGCTCCTTCTCCAGAATCTCTTGTTGTGCAGCTAATACTCTTGTGGCCTCAGAGTTCTTTTGAGCCAAAGCTGCAGTCTTTTGTACAAAACCAAAACCAAACTTTTGAGATACATACAGAAACAAAAGAACTAAACTTGATGCAAAGACATTGATCACTGGAAGATTATACTAAGTTCCATGTTCCGGTGAGGAATAATACTACATAGAGCTTGTGAAACCGTTCATTATATATTCAAAATCTTAATTTAAACCAGACATTCAACAACACTTTGATCAATTCCCAAATCACCCCACTTGTTCTTTTCTTCTTCGAGTTCACATAAAAGAACAATATGATCAGATTTTCAAAGTCGAGGAGGCATATATGAAGGAAAAGCATAATCGGAGCTTTTACCTCGGAAATGGGTTCTTTAAGAGCTTTTCGAGTGACTCGAAACCTGATCCCTAGCTTCTCAAGATGCCTAGAAAGAACTCTAACAATGGTGGTCGAGCTTTTTAAATCCTCTTCAAGTTTCTCCAATCTTCGAATCAAATTGGTCCCCTCGCCATCTCTCGTTCCTTTGCAAATCCTCATCCATTGTCGCCGTCTAAGCCACGAACCAGCCGCGACTGACCCAATCAACCCGACGAAACCTAACGACAAAACCTTTTTCCCGATTTCACCAACCACCGCGTAATTCACGGCGAGAACCACCGAAATCACGGCGGAGGATACAATACAAAGAACCTCCGCGAATGAAATAAAGCTTCCCAAATCGAAACCATCGGAATTAGCGTCTGAGCTGTCTTCGTATGATCCGATTGACGACGCATGAGCTCTAGAATCACGAACGATCTCGAAATTTGACCGAGGAGAGATGACGTGGCGGAGGAGGATAGGTTTAGGGAACGATCTAGAATTCCGGCGAGAAGTCCGTACGGAGGCGACGGCGAAGCAGAGGTTGCTCCTGCTGATGCGAACAGGAGTCGTCGAGCCGGAGGCGAAGAAAGCGTATCGAGAAGGAAGCGATAAGGACATTATCGTCTTTTCAGAGCTGCGACAAGTGACTGACTCAAACTCGGGTCACTACTACTGCAAGAAATGGCTACGACTCTAATGACAAACCTCGACGCGGCGCATTATAGTAAATACTTAAAATGCGCCGTATTAAACCGCGCATTTGGGTCAGGGTGAATTAATGTGACAAAATATAGGGAGTCAAATCTCTTTTTTTGTTCAACGGAGTCGATGTTTTCATTTCTCTGAGTACAGCTAAATAGCTTAATAACCCAAATGTATAATAATATATAACACATGACAGTCTGAGACAAATATGTAATGATTCGAATCAAACGATACGAAACTTACAATAACCAGTCGAGATGAGAAATGTTTAAGCGCAAAGTTCTAAAAGCAAAAAGAGCCAAAGTCATATAGAAAGCTCAACAAAGGATGGATATAGCCCAATATTACCAATCCGCTCTCGATAGCTAATCTGCGATATGCTTTAACCAGGAAGGTTTTTATTGGTAAGGCATGTAACGCATTGGCCTTCTGAATCTCGGAGCTTTCCTGCATAAAGTTGACAAAAAAAAGAAGATGTTTTCGTGTAAGAATATGAGAAAATGTGATGCAATGCGTGTCTTACTTTGAATCAAACTTACCCGTATCCATATGGAGAATACATATAAGGAGGCATGAAAGGTCTGCGGAACCGGTAACCCATGTACGGGTTGAATCGTCTACCACGGAACTGTTTCAATCCAGGAACGTTTGTTCTCTTAGGCAAGACCTGATATGTTTAATACCAGAAGAGAAGACAATGGAATGATAAGAAACCCCTTCATAGCAAAAAGTGTATCCTTTGATGGTTATAGCAAGAAGAAACCTTTTGTGTACCTTTAATTGACGACCATGGAGCTCTGATTCATTCAGTTGTAGAGCCTCTTGTATAGCTTCGACTTCCACAAACTCCACGTAAGCAAATCCCTTTGGCTGTCCGAATTTGTCTGTCAGAATTGTCACCCTGTGGACAGTGCCGCATGTTTGGAAATGCTGCTGCACTTCTTCAGGTGTACACGCGTAATCAACCTGCACAGCGAAATATACGGTTATAGTATACAAACTTAGCCCATGCAGTCTTTCACCGAGCACACAAAGAGTAATCCATCAAATTAACAAGTTCAGCAAAACAAGAAAACCTAGCAAAGTCATTCATCTTTGATCATCCTTCATTGTACACACCACTTCTACCTTTCTTTCTTTTCATATGTGCAAAAATGAACAATAAAACCAAGCAAAGTAGAGTGGAAAACTAGTGAACGTAAGCAGCCTTTAAGTTGAAAAATCCCTTACGCTGTGTACAGAGCCTAAACTTTATAACAATCTTCATTTTACGTTAGCATCGAAAAGCTTGCCTCTCACCAAATCTCTGCAGATAGCAGCTATGCATCTTGACTGGAAAGCATCCAGCATCTTGATTCAGCTCTTCAGAGGCCATCTCCTCGAGTTTCAATTGCAAAATACTCCACTTAATTAAATCTACTCTCCAGATTTCTTTTTTTCTTTAAGTCATGACATCTTTTTTTCCTTTTCTATATTTTTTTTCTCTAAAACCTATGCACTTATTTTCTTTCTTTTAGCTTTTTTTTTCTTTCATATTCTTCTTTTGATTCTTTTTTTGCTTTTTTCATCATGTTCCACAACAAACAGAACACGATCTATTTCAACTCTATAAAAGGAAAAATGTAAAGACCCCACAAAACATAGTTGCTAACCCAGAGCTACTAAGAACTTCAGGTTTGAGACAATCCTGCGATTGTAGCGAGAAATATCATAAGACACACAATACTCAGCGCCAAAAAGAAAAACTAATAGACATCCTAGAATAACAAATTAATGAACAAATGAAGTCTTCGTTTATATCTGAAGGCTCAGGTTCCATCAGTAATGTGAAGATCCATCTCAAACTAACAACAAATGTCCCTCAAGAATCTACATTAGAAAATATAGACTAAACTCCCATCACCACCTTCTAATTAGGCTAATCTAGAGTGCTCGATTAACAGACATCAAATGCAAGCCATAGCAGCAAAAATGTGACATTAGGCCAAAAGTCATGGTTAACTAATGATATATTTAACCACTACATGACATACTGCGTGAGCGAGATTTGATAGCATGCCATGCAGAGAATACAATAACAGATCAGGAAGAAAACATAATCAGATTATAGAGTTCAAAGGCGTACTATATTAATCCTAAAATCCACGATTGAAAGCTTTTCTATTCAAAAGACCTAGTCATATTGGCACAATTCAAAACCTAGGCGAATGCACACCAACTCAATAAGAGGTAAAAACTATGAAATCAACCAGAAGCTACGATGGTTCAAAGGATAACAAAGGGAAACAGAAACCAATAAGCAGAAATATAAGCATTCATTCTTACATTGCCAACAAAGACCGATCGAGCATCCACCTCCTCCTTGCCTGCTTGATTTTCTGCAATAGTAGCAGGATCTGCAATAAAAATTACAACAAAGACT